GGGGGGGGGCTGCTGTGTGATGAGTTTAGCCCCCCGTCTTGTAGCCCAGACCGGAGGGAGGCTGCCTCAGTGCCGCCTGTGTGCTGTGAGAGCGGGCACAGCTGCCTCTTGGGGGTGCCAGTTGGGGGGGCTGGGGCTGGGGGGGTGTGGAGGAACAAGGCGGGAGGGCCGCCCAGCCTCTCACACTCCCCCCCCCCCACTCTGCAGGCGGGAAGCCCTTCGGCTGCGAGCTCTGCCACTTCTCCACCAAGCACAAGAAGAACCTGCGCCTGCACGTCCAGAGCCGGCACCCGGAGGCCTTTGAGGAGTGGGAGCAGCAGCACCCGGAGGAGGGGCCCTGCCGACGGCGCCCCTTCTTCACCCTGCAGCAGATCGAGGAGCTGAAGCAGCAGCACGGCCAGGCCCAGACGCCCCCCGAGGGCCCCCCGCCCGTGAGTGGCCGGCGCCCGCCCTGGGGGAGTGGGGGGGTCCCCTGCTGCTGCTGAGGCCGCCGTGGTGACCAGCCGGCTCTTCCCCTCAGGTGGCCTCCCCCCCGGGGCAAGGACCCCCCGACCCTTCCCAGGAGCCCTTGCAGAGCGCCATCCTTCTCTTCCAGCCAGGTACACGCCCGGGGGAGGGGGGGAGGGGCGGGCAGTCAGGCAGAGCCCCCCTCGAGATGGGCAGACCTGCGGCTGGGGATGCCGGCCCTTTGGTTTTAATTGGGGGACCGCGGCTTGTGACTTCCCTAGGGCAGGACCGGGCCAGCAGCCCCTGTCCAGGTCCCCCACCAGCCCCACTCCCCCTACCTTCTTCGGAGGGCCTGGGAGCCGGGCTGCCTCGGGCCTTTCTTCCACGACCGGATCTGGGTGCGAGGATCAATCCGAAAGGTTAAATCGCGGCAACTGGACCAAAGTTTATTAAGACTGAGACGTTTCGTTCCTCGTCCGAGTAGCTTCTTCAGTCAAAGTGAAAGTTTTGGGCAGGCAGAGAGTCAGAGAGTTGTTGGAAGGAGCCAGCTCTTGCCATACGGACTGGGCGGGGGGCGCAGGGGGGTGTTCCCCCTATCAGATCTGCACAGAAGGCTGGGAGAGGGGAAAAGCCACATGGGGAAGGCAGGCTGCGTTCTGAGGCCAGAGAGACCCTCCCTCCCCCCCTCTTTTTAGGGAGGCCTGGAGGGCAGAGCCAGGCGGGGGAATGTCCGCTGGCGCGTGTGATTCCCTGCGCTGAGACCCCCAACTTTAGAGAGAGCAGGTCGGAGGGGCTGGCCGGAGGGGCTGGCAGTTCAGGGCCTCACTTTGACCACTTCCCCCCCCCAGAGGTGGAGAGCTCCACAGAGGTGACCACGCAAACCGCCCTGGACCTCCTGCTGAACATGAGCGGCCAGCGGGAGCTGCCGGCTGGTACCCTGGAGGTGAGGATGGGGGGGGGGGGTTCCCGGCTCCTGCGTGGGGGGGCGCGGAAGGGGCGAAGCCTTGAGCCTGACCGGGCTGGGCTGCTCCCGCAGGTGGCCGTGGTGAAGGCGGTGAAGAAGCCCCCGGAGTCCCAGGGCCAGGAAGAGGAGCTGCAGGCCAGCCTCCTGGCCACCCAGGGGGTGGAGCAGAGGGAGCCCCCCCTCCCGTCCTCCCCGGGGGCCCCTGAGGTCCAGCACATCGCCGTCCCCTTCTGCGGCGCCTCCGAGTACAGGGTGGTGGCCCCCAGCGCAGAGGTTGCCAGCACGCTGTACAGGTGAGCTTTTCTAGGGGGGGGGCGCTGCCATCTGTGCGAGGGGAGATCGAGGTCCTTCAGATCCTCCTCCTCCTCCTCCTCCTCCTCCCCCCTCTTGGGCCCATTTCCCATCCTCCCTCTCTCTCTCTCGGCAGCAAGGAGGCGGCTCCTGGCGAAACTGCGCAGACGGCGACCCAGGACTCCCCGGAGGGCCCTGCACTCCTAGAGGGGCCCCAGCAGCAGCAGGAGCCCCCAGCGCCTCCTGGGGAGGTGAGCAAGGACCCCCCGTCCGTCCCCCAGAAGCCTTTACGGCTCCCTCCCAGGGAAGGGCTCGGAGCGGCTCCCAGCCGAGCGTTTGTCGGGGCGGGTGTCGGCCCTCCTGGGGTGCTCTGCCAAAGGGGCCCCTCCGTGACCGTGATGGCTCTCCCCACGGCAGATCACCGTGGAGCCCCTGCCGGCCGTCCAGTGGCCGGTGGTGCGCTGCCTGGCCTGGCAGGCCCCCCCGGAGCAGCAGGAGCCGGAGGCCGGTGCGATCCCTCTGGTCCTGGCGGAGCAGCCCCCGCGCAGGGCCTCCCCGGGCAAGGCCCCCCCGGCCAAGAAGTTCTCCTGCAAGATCTGCAGCGCCTCCTTCGCGGGCCGGGCGGAGATGGAGAGCCACAAGAGGGCCCACGTGGGGCCCAGCGGCTTCAAGTGCCCCGACTGCCCCTTCACGGCTGCCGCCTGGCCGGAGGTCCGGGTAGGTGCTCGGGTGTGGGGAAGGGGGCTCCGGGGAGGGCTGGCTGCTGGGACCGGGGTCCTCCCCTCGGGCGAGGGCTGCTGGCGCCCCTCTCACCCCACCCCCTCCCCAGAGCCACCTGGAGCAGCACGCCAGCCTCCGGCCCCACAAGTGCCAGCACTGCAGCTTCGCCTCCAAGAACAAGAAGGACCTGCGCAGACACACCCTGACGCACACCAACGAGAAGCCCTTCGCCTGCCACATCTGCGGCCAGAGGTGAGCCGGGGAGGGGGCGTCCCTTGCGGGGGAGGGGCCCTCCGGCCTTGGCAGCCAAGTGAGGGCAGCCCTCCTTTTCCCCCCCCTCCAGGTTCAACCGGAAGGGCCACCTCAAGTTCCACATGCAGAGGCTGCACAGCTCTGAGGGAAGACCGGCCCCCGAGCCCCTCCCGGCCACCTCCCAGACCATCATCCTGAACAGCCACGAGGACACCCTGGCCACGCTGCAGAGTAAGCGGGAGGGAGGGAGGGAGGGAGGGAGGGGGCTTCTCCGCCCCCCCAAATCCTTGGAAAGGAGCCTCTCCAGCTTTGCTTCCCTCCCTCCCCCACCCCGACTGGCCTTCAGCCCTGGGGAGGGGCTGCCGGTGGGCGGCCGGAGCCTGCCTGGGGCTCGGCCGCTGAGCCTCTTGGGGGTCACCAAGCAGAGGCCGGCCGGCAGCCCGACTCCTCTCTTCTCTGTTCCACAGCGGCCCTGCAGTGCGGGCCGGAGAGGCTCCCGCAGGCCCTGGAGCAGGAACACATGATCGTGACCCAGGAGGAGGACGGCCCCGACGAGGTGAGGAGACGGCCAGGCTGAGGGGGCTGTGGGGAGCTCAGGGTCGCCCCTTTTACCTGGGGGGGGCAGCCCAAGGTCAGCAGGTTCAGGGAATTCCCTCCCCCCCCCCAGGTGAGATCTTGCAGCCTGGAAAACAGCTCTTGTACTTGGCTGGGTTGACAAAATGCGCTGGTTGCATTCACACGACCTGAATTCAGATTGAGGGGAAATTATAGCCGACGAGGAGGCCTCAGTTCTGCTGATCTTTGTGCCGCTTCCTGTCTGTGTGGGAGCCTCCAGCCTGGGGCACGTTGGAGGAATCGGCCCTTCCCCCCCTTTGCCCCCTCCCCCTCCGGTTTCTCTTTTGCCCCTGGCCTGGCACGAGGGCCGCTGCCCGCTGTAGGGAGGCCGGGCTGGGCGTGATGTCTGGGCCTTTGCTTGCAGGAGGAAGCCACCTACATCCAGGAGATCATGGCCACGGCAGACGGGCAGATGGTGCAGCACCTGGTGACCACCGAGAACCAGGTGAGGCCGTTGCCGGTCACCCCAGGAGGGGCTCTTGGGGGGTCTGCCCACCGACAGCCCCCGATAACCTCTCCCCCGCCTTCCTTCCTTCCGAAGGTGCAGTACATCATAACCCAGGAGGGCGTCCAGCAGCTCCTGCCCCACGAGTACGTGGTGCTGCCCGAGGGCCACCACATCCAGGTGAGGCCTTCCCTGCCCCTTACCCCCCTCCCACAAACACGGGGGTCCGTGCTCCCCCCCCCCCCGATTTCTCACAGCCCCGGTTGCCGTTTCAGGTGCAGGATGGCCAGATCACCCACATCCAGTACGAGGAGGGCAGCCCGTTTGTGCAGGAGCCCCAGGTACGGGGGGGGGGCAGCCCTGGGACGGGGATGCTGGGGGAGGGGGTGCGAGGCTGAGCTGGTGAATGGGCTCTCTTGGGGGGGGTCTGGAGCAGGGGGGTCTTAGGGATGCCTTCCCTCCACAGATCCAGTATGTGCCAGTGTCCCCTGGGCACCAGCTTGTCACGCAAGCCCAGCTGGAGGCAGCAGCAGCAGCGACACACTCGGCCGTGACAGTTATTGGGGGGTCCGGGAGCAGCAAGGAGGCCCCCCCAGAGCAGGAGCTTCTGCCTGTCCACCTGGGTCGACCTGCAGCCGGCTTGGGCAAAGGAAAGAACTCCGGTTGCCTTTTCTGTACAGGTGCTTCAGCCGGGCGTTTCTGGGCGTGTCGGAGTCCAGGCTGCCCTGTCGACCCACAGCCTGGTGGGGAGGGGGCCACGGAATCCCCCAGGCCTGCCCTAGATCTGCCACCCACATTTTCACCCCAGCTCTTGGGGGAGAAATTCCCAAAAGGCTCCCTCTCCATCCGTCGGGCTGGACCAGGTCTTGCCCTCTCCGCTTCCTCCCTTCCAGCTGCCAGTCGAGTTCTGGGCTCTCCGACATTGGGGCAGGATTGGGACCCCCTCCCCGTCTTTCTGCTCACTCCTCCCTCCTCTCTCTGCAGCCGTGGCGGATGTGGCCGTGGCCCACGCTCCCTTTGGCACGGAGTCCGGGCCGGAGCAGCTGCAGCCGGGCATCCACTACGACATCATCACCCTTGCAGAGTGACCGGACTTTGCGCCCAAAGAGGCCGCCCGCTTTCTTGGCACTTTGGGGCAGCCAAAGGACCAGCCTTCCCTCCGGATTGTGCCTCCTGCAACCGGCCAGCTCCAGCCGCTGCTCGCACTCGCCCGCCCCGCAGGTCACCTGGCAGGCCAGGTGGGGCCCCTCTTCCCAGAGACCCCCTGGAAGAGGGAGGCCCAGACCCCAGTCAGCAGCCTCGCCCGAGGACCGTCTGGTGGACGCACTGCTGAATAAAAAGGGCCCACCAGGTGTGGACAATGCTGGTCTGTGTGATTGATTGTATGTGTGGGGGGCTTCTCACCCCCCCACCCACTCCAGGCCCCTCTTCCTGGCAGCGCAGACGCCGCCTGTTCATCGGGCAGAGTTTGTGTCGGATTAGAACTGCTAATCTGGGAATTTAACGAGGAGCTTTGGCCTTATCCCCGTGGCGTTCAACAGGGCAAAATGTCACCTCGCCCGAAGGGCACCTTCAGCCAGGCCGGGGGAGGCAGGGCTGGGCTGGGCTGGGCTGGGCAGGCGGCAAAGGCCGCAGACCCCCTACTCTGCCCGCAGTCTGGAGCTGGGAACCGCCAGCTGTGGCCTCTGCCTGGCTCAGCCGTTCCAGCTGTGTCCCGGCAGCGCATTAGCAGAGGGCAGGCAGGGATTACCAGCCATTATCTGATCAAGCCAGAGGCCGGCCCTCCTCGCTGGGGGCAAGGTCGCGCTCCAGAGGAGACGGGCAGCGGGGCCCATGCAGGCCTGGCTGGAGCCCTCAAGAGCGCAGCCTGGGTCCCCTCTGTCCCTGCCCCTCCCGCTTGATGGAGCCGAGCGGGCGGAAGGGAAAGGGGTGCCAGGCTGAGAACGGAGGGGGGCCAGGAAGGCTTTGGAGAGAGTTGGTGGGCCGAGGGGGGGGGGGCTGGCCCCTGTTGGGAAGGAAGGAGCCCAAACCTGCCTGCTGGCCTGTTCCTTGGGCTCCCTGCTGCGGTGACTCCTAAATTCATCTGAGAGGCTGCCTTCACACAACAGGCTAAAAGCGCAGAGAAGGAATGAAAATGAAAGAAGGCCGTGAGTGGGTTGTGGAAACACGGCCACTCAAGAAGGGGGGAATTGGTGCCAGTCCTCATGAAGAGCTGGGTGAGGAGCACGGCACAAGGGTCACAACCTTCCCTGCAGCCCATCCTGGGTAAAAGGGCTACTTGGGTGTCTGGAGAGCCTGACGCTTTGCAGAGCTGCAGGGCACCATGCAAAACCATCTTGAGTTTTTAATAAAAAATAATAAAAGGCAAGATACGAATTAAATAAAATTCCCCAATTCTGGAAGATGGGATGTCCAGGGCAAGCAGTGGGGGGTGCACATGCTGAAGCCCTGGTTTTCATGCTGACTGTGCTGCCTGTTACCCCAAAGAACAAGAGTTGTTATACGGGACGTGTCCCCCAGTATCAACTGCCAGGAAGAGCGGGCCAATCGAGGCACCTGGCAATCACCGGAGGGGGGCTGCATGTCCCGGGAGCTGCCGCCTCGGGCTCAAAATGCCAAAAGGAAGCACAAAGAAGTGGACCCAGCATCAGAGCCGGCACCCTGGCCTGGCAAAACTCGGGAGGGGACCTTCCTTCAAGGACTCTGGTGGCAAATAAAGGCCCGGTTGAGTCGAACCGCCTCCAGCTGAGACTGCTGTGGGGTCACTAGCCGTCTAGCCCCAAGCCTTCCTGGTGGTCTCCCATCCAGCTCTTAATTTGATCTGACCCTGCCTGGCTTCATGAGGATCACCCGAAGTTGGGCCAGAGCCGATTCGATCTGGCCGTTGCTTCCCCCTTAACGGTGGCCAGGAGCCCTCGGCCTCCCAGCTGGTAGTCATGGAAGGGGGGTCTTTGCCAGCGATGGGAGGACCTTCCCCTGCCCACCGCAGTCGGGCTTCTGGCGGCTCGGCTGCCCTGAGCAAAGGCCTCTGGAGGAGGCAGGATCCGATTTCCTTCCGGGTTCAGCTCCTTCCATCCTCTGGAGGCTGGGAAAGGGATGGCTGTGAGGGCCCGTCTCCTGCCAGCTCTCCGGGGCCTCTTGGCAACTTCGGATCTCACAGAGGGCGTCATCTTTGGGGTCTGCTTCACCACCAGGGGTGTCCTGGGCCCTTTTGAGACCATCTGGCCTGGCCTCTGAGCCACTGAGTGTGGTGTCCCAGAAGGGCAGAATCCCCTTCAGGCTGGCAAGAGACGGTTCCCTTGCAGCCCTCGGGGGCCAAAGGTGGGCGAGAGGGAAAGGTGGCCTGGGCGCCCTCCCCCCCCCGGCCCTGCTCCGAGCTGGGAATTGGTGACCGTTCAAAGTTACATTAGCACTGGAAAAAAGGGTCTTGTGACCCTCGCAGCGTCCTGGTGGTCACGTGATGAAAATCCGGATGCTTGTCAACTGGCATGATGTACTTCATGACGGTTGCCGTGTCCTGGGATCAGGTGTTCACCACTGGCCACCTTCTGGCAAGGAAAGTCAATGGGGAAACCGGATCCAGCTAACAACTGTGGGGAGAAAGGTCGTAAAGTGGGGCAGGACTCACTTAACGACTTTCTCAATCAGCAACAGGAACATTGGGACTCAATTGTGGTCAGGACTGCCTGGGCACCTTTACTGACCTGGAACCGGTCAGTTTCCCCTGTTTTCGTGTGAAGGCAGGACTCCCCTTTTCCAAGACCTTCCACGCCTTGACACGGTCAACGCAACTGGAGGCTCGTCTGTCGTCCAGGATGGAGGTCACCGACCTTTCTCGATTGGTGGACCAAAGGGGGAGGCATTTTACACATGCGTGTGTGCAGGCACGGGGCCACGAGGACACACCTGACACAAACGTGTGATACTAGCCCTGCCCTGTTCTTGCACGGCACAGCGCCCCATTTCCGCACCCTGCAGCACAGCGGCAGCATCCCATTTTCATGCCCCGCAGTATGGCATCCTGTTTTTGCACCCCACAGCCTCGGTGCTAGCACAAGTGGGGGGATGTGCGCATACATACGTGCATTGGCCAGCCTGTCCTGCGGCCCCATGGCCCGCTACCGGGCCGTGGCCCACTGGTTGAGAACCCTCGATCCAGGAAGAACACATGGACTTTTGGGGGAGGGTCTTTTGGGTCTCTCAACCATCCAGCGAGCGTCGGCATTAATGCCGCTTGTCCTTCTTTTCTAAAGCCATCTTGAACATCTGGCACCTCCTTTCCCAGGGAAGCCTCTGTAATCCGTGGGGGATGATCCTAAGCTGGCTGCAAAATTAAGGATATTGTACAAGAGTTGGCACACCTGGCTAAGCCCCCCCCTTCCCTTGATTCTGGAACATCGATTGACCTTTCCCAGTCGGGTGTCCACGGGGCCATTCTCCGGTTTGGCCGGCCTTTATTTTTATGTTTTATTTTGCCAATGCATACAAGCAGCCTGCCTGAATAGAAACAAAAGCATCGCATTTGGGCAGAATCTTTTAATTTCTTTCTGTTTTTTGCCTTATTTCCATGAGGTTCCACCTGCTCCTGTAGCCTTCCGACCTGGCAGCTAAATTCTAAATTTGTCTTCTGTGCACAAGAGGTACACAGGCGGTCCCCGACTTACAGTCACAGCTGAGCCCAAAATTTCCGTTGCTAAGCGAGACAGTTGTCCATTGAGTTTTGCCCCATTTTACAACCTTTCATGCCACTAAGCAAATCACTGCAGTTGTTCAGGTAGTAACAGAGCCGCAAAGAGACTCTGTCCTCCCCGTTGACTTTGCTTGTCAGAAGGTTGCGAAAAGGGATCATGTGACCCCGGGACGCTGCGACCGTCATAAATACGAGTCAGTTCCCAAGTTTCCTAATTTTCATCGCCTGACCCTGGGGAGGCTGCAGTGGTTGAAAGGGTGAAAACTGGTCGTCTGTGGAGAGTCTCAGCCACCCAGGCCATTAGTTGTTCCAAAGATGCCTTTTTTTTTTATTTGCCTTTTTCTCTTTGAAGACATTTCGCTTCTCCTCCAAGCAGCTTCTTCGGCTCTGACTGGAGGGTGGGGATTCACGCTCATCCAGCCAGAGCTGAAGAAGCTTCTTGGAGGAGAAGTGAAACGTCTTCAAAGAAAAACAAGAAAGTCCAGTTGCCTTGGGGGGGAGAAAAGCATTTTTGGGTGAAAACTGGTTGTTAGTCCCTTTTTTTCAGTGCAGTTGGAATTTAGAACGGTCCCTGGATGTCCTGTTGAGAGCCGAGACCTGGCTGTACTCGTAAGCAGGGAATATCTTCCGTGGCAGGGGTCCCCAACTCAAGAGCCACGGGCCAGGGCTGCTCCATGCCGGCAAGCGAAGCCCCATCCATGCATGCGCAAGACCACACACACACCAGGGGTCCACGGAAAAAACACCCTCCGCGCAACCGGTCCCTGGCGCCCACAAGGCCGGGACCACCGCTGACATCTCTGCTGGTGGAAGCGGAAGGCGGGATCTGAGGCGGCCTTCCTTACGGACAGCGTCCCTCCGGAGGCCTCCGGTCAGAAGGCGCCAGATCTTCCCTGGCAGCCCAGAGAAGCTGGCCGGAAGGAGAGAGGGAGAGGCCTTGCAGAGCTGAAGGAGAAGCCCGAGGCCAGGGGGGTGGAGAGCACACAAGGTTGAATCTGAAGAGTTTGGGGAGACCCCAAAGCGGCCCTGCCGAATGGGGAAGAAGCAGAACGGGGGGGGGGGCTCGCAAGCCTTCCAAAGCCTTCCAAAGACACACGCCCTTCTTATACCCCAGTGAATCAGGGGGGGCGTCTGCCAGAACTGCTTCCAATGCCATCTCCTTGCTCTGGGCTTAAACAAAGCTCTGGCAACTTCTGCCCAGGTGTCAGCAGCACCTGTATTTCCCCACCAAGGTCGTCTTTGGGCCTTCTCCACCTCTGCGTTGGGAGGGCATGTGGATTCTCATGGCTGACTGGGGGATTCTGGGAGTTGAAGTCCACGTGTCTTAATGTTCCCAAGGTGGAGACCCACCGCTCCACGCTCCCTATTTGCTCTCCAGCACTGGGCCCACAAGGAGGGCAGTTGGGTTGCCTGCACTTGCCCAATGAGAGACCCCTGTCTGGAGGGAGCAGCAGAGGGTGGGGGGGCTGGGAGAAGGGAC